TATTGATGTTTGTGAACTGAAATTTACCCTCATAGTTCTGATGTGAAAGTCTGAATGTTTCGATTCACACAGACCATAAACTAGTCAGACGTTCCCAACTAAGACAAACGTGCAGCGAAGGGTTTATTATGATGAGCATTGCACTGACCTCGTACCGTATGCACACCGATGATGAGGAAACGATGGAGTCTGGTCATCTACAGCTTTCAGATGAGCTTCTGGAGTCGGGGTTTCATCCCTGTTATAGGAATTAAGTCTCATTCAGTGAGAGTCGGTAGTGATGAGTGAACTTCTCCATCTGTCCATTCTACACTTACTCCCCCGAGAAAATGTGGATTTCTCAGACCTACATTTGTGCATTTTAAGGTGTTTGAAGGTCATAAAAATGGTATAACAATAGCTTTAAAAGCATGTTGCATAAAAGATTACAGATTCTTAAATATGAGAATGAGGATAAATGTTGAAATGAATGATGAATGAATGTTTCTGCTTAATGAGAAATCTTTCAAGGATTATTTTGCATAGATATTATTTCAATCAAACACCAGTGCAATCTTTTTGTGTCCAGAGGAAAATGAGCAATTTATATATTAGCATTAAAGATTGGTTTCAGCAACTTGTTTCTTTCTAAGGTTAGCTAATCAATATTTTTGGCACTAATCTGTTTAGTTAAAGTTCAATTGTGCACTCATAAAGACAGTCAATAATGCAAGTTGGGCAAACACAGACCGGCGGAGTGATACAAACAGTGAAAAGGCTGATAATATTCAAACACATTCGAGGACCACACAAATGTATATTGTAAAGGACCTCTTTGAGAGTTTAATGTGTGCTTTGAGTTGGTTATTGGTCAAATATTTGTGTAAATCTTGTAACTTATTCAAGTATTTTGCATGTGCTTTTGTTATTTGTGTGATTGAGTGGAAATTTGGTGCACCTGTAATACTGAGATTTGTCCTTTTGGTGACACCGTAGTTTTGCACAAGGGATGATGAACATTTAAGGGTATCTGGCGGTGTGAATGGGGAGCGGCCGTGTGTTTGAGCCTACATGTGTGTATTTTATCTGAGATCTCATGTTTTATTCATGAACTTGAAACTTGACGCCCGTTTATGACAGAAGGGGATTATCAAAATTTGTTTGCATTCCTTTGTGAGCGCAGCGAGGTATGATTGATCATTCATAATACACTCCATATGTATGGTTTTATTAGATGTATAATTAATGTTTGTTTTGTAATGATGTTTGTAACCGTGAAACCAAGTGTGTGAAATTTTATATGTTTTCAATACAGTTTTCACGGTGCTATGGTGATGATGAAGATGAGTTGAGCTTCATGGTTTGGTGAACTTAATAAAGGATACCTTATGCATCAGTCGAGACTCTCTCTTTTGGATCCAAGGGCTATGAATTGAGCTTATAGTTTATGTAATTAGCAAATGACATCTGTGTTAAATAGGAATATATTGTAATAATGTTAAAAGGCGTAAAGATAGAGCGAAATATCTTGGTTCAATCATTGATGATAAACTTTCCTTCCAAGACAATGTGGATTTTATGGGCTACATAAGAAAACTAGACAGTGTTTAAGTCTACTTAGGAAGTTAAGAAATCTTAACCATTGTTTATAGATCAATGATTGAAAGTGTTTTAACTTATAATATTGTTTCATGGTATTACAGTGAAACAGAAGAATGAACTAACACGAGTAATCAATGAAGCAAATAAGATCATCGGCCAAAAACAGCACATTACAAGAGCTATTCACATTGTTTTTTTGGAGAAAAGGGCATTATCAATATATTCAGCCCAGACTCATCCCCTCCATTCCTGCTTCAAGATCCTTCCTTCGGGGCGCAGGCTTATCCCTAATGTTTCAGAAACCCCAAAAGTGACCTTAACCCGACCATAACCCGAAAACTGGCTGCATGTAAACGTAGTCATTGTCTGTTTCTCCCTATTTGATCCCCTTGTGTTTGCTGTCCTGTGCCATGTCTATACCTTGTGAGTAGCTTGTCTTAACGAAGTTGTGATCTTGTAAAATCCTGTCTTGTTCCTGTATAGTTTAATGTCAAAGTCTTAGTCTAGTGTTATTAGTCTTTATTTTCCCGACCAGTGTTGTTTGCCCCCTCGTGGGTTTTGTTTTCCCAGTTTTCTGTTATCAATAAACGTTGTGTGTTTGCATACTTTCTGCAATTGGGTTCATCTGCTATCCACATAACAGTGTGTATTAATTATTTATTTCTTATGTGGTTTGTAACGTGGTGGTTGTGCCAGTGTCAAAGATGAATTTCTGTCCATCTGAACAGACAATGAAGTTAATCAAATCAAATTCGCATTCATGTTATTATATGCCTATATATAGATGTCAGTCGGATATGGACTTGATTTATGGTAATTGAGAATGAACGTGCACGCGCATCCCATTTACGACAGGTTGGAATTCATTAACACACACATTTCACTATGACATCTGACGTTTACGATGTATTTGTAAATCATGAGAAGAGTTTTCGGGAAGGTCTCTTTACGCGCAAATCACTCTCATATTTACACTCTCATATTTACATATTTATGAATGAGACTCACTGTGAGGAACTGCAGGCACTCCGGCCAACGGTGACGTCACGTCCCTCTATTTATAATTTCTGAACATTGAATCTCAGAATTTATTCACCCTTTTCTCATGGTTTCTCAATAGAGTTCATACAAGTATAAAGTAGAAAAGCAATAATTCTAATCATTTGCTCATTGCAACGCAGAGTGACAACATGCCCCGTCTGCACAACTGGGACAAAGTTCTCTTAAATATGGGATTTAAACCCGGCTAGTCTGTCTTCTGCTGTCACACCAGCATTCAAGAACTATCTCAAGATATAAGATAAAATAATATCAGACTTGTTTAAAATTAACACAAGAAACTTACTTTTGCTATGGTTAAATAAATGTTCAGTAACATCTTCAATACATAGGCTATATATTTTTAATGTGTCGTGTTTCAAATCAATGCCAGTTGGAACTCCTAATCAAATGATAACATTAATTGCTGCCAGGTGGTGTTTAATTAATTGAATTAACGAGATGAATGCGTTCCTGATATATTAGAGTCTGAAGAGTGGCTTGATAAGGGTTAGTCTTGGCTGATCTGTCCTCATGGCTGTGAGGGAGATTTGTGTTTGGAAGAAGCTCATTTTCACCCTTTTTCTCTTTGCTGTTGATGGACTTAAAGAACCAGGTCAGTACCATTAGGCTTTGAAGTGAACAGAAGCATTCTGTTTTTATGTTGGAGTTGTTTCCTAAACTTTACAGATGGTGAAAATAAGCTTTGTGAACCATTGAAGCTTTCCTTCAACACCATTACAACTCTTGGTTTGTTTGCCATCCAGTGATCAAATGGATAATGGTCCTGTGTTTTTATTTTGTTTTTTCTGCTTTGCTTTGTTTCTGGTTTAGATTAGGTGAGTTATTGGCTGATCTGAACCATATACTCTTTATCATCTTTACAGGACATCCACTTTAAGCCACAAAGTTGATATTCTTCACTGTTTGTTTGGAATTTCTCTCGCAGATGTAATGGTGTCTAAATCTGCAATGGTGTCCTTTTATGTTTGTAGTCGGCAGAGTCAGATTTGTGGACCTCCTGGTTCCTTATTTTGAATCTGGATCAATGCTTAATGGAAAGGTAAGTAAAAATGTCATCCTTATCCCAGAAGCCTTCAAATTGTTTCCCTTTCCTAACCTTGATTATTCCTAACAGATATCCGTGACTCATTTTGATAAGACTCCAGTTGCAAACAAAGTGACGGTGTCGATATGGCTCCAGCAGTGCAGATTCTGGTCTACAGCGTTCTTCCCAGTGAGAATGCAGCTGTGCTCTCTTACCACCCTTGACTCCAGCGTGGACCATCGGCCATTCGGCCTCCCTCTGTTGGACATTACATCTTCTTCGCCATGGACTTGTGGCCCATTCGCTGCCCTACGGCTCTCCACCTCTTTCGCCTTTGAATAGCTCCGCCCTCCCTCGGCTTCCACCTCAATCTATGGTTGCTGCAGCTCAGCCTCTAACCTCAGGATCGCTGCTTCCACTTCAGGGGTCGGCGCTGTGGCCTAGTCGCGGTCGCCTAGGTCTTTGTGTCTCACTGCCTCATCGCTTCTCTGGCTACGTGGTGTGCTCCACCTCCATCACCTCCGGTAATCCCCTTGGTAGTGTTGGGACTCTTCACTCCATGGCTACTCCATTCTGCGACGCCACCGTGGGATGCAGTCCTGACTGTGGGCTGGGTCTCCGTCTGCCCTTCCCTGCTCAAGGCCGTCTCCCTGGCTGTCACCACCATCTGCACCAACCTTTTTTCATGGTTCTCAGTCGTCCGCCCCGTCCGCCCAAGTCGTCCGTCCGTCCGCCCCGTCCGCCCGAGTCCGTCCGTCCGTCCGCCCGTCCGCCCGAGTCCGTCCGTCCGTCCCCCCGTCCGCCCGAGTCGTCCGTGTCCGTCCCGCCCCGTCCGCCCGAGTCGTCCCGTCCGTCCGCCCCGTCCCGCCGAGTCCGTCCGTTTCGTCCGCCCGTCCGTCCCGAGTCGTCCGTTCGTCCGCCCCGTCCGCCCGAGTCGTCCGCCCGAGTCGTCCGCCCGAGTCGTCCGCCCGTCCGCCCGCCCCGTCTGTCCGCCCGAGTCGTCCGTCCGTCCCATCCCTCCAAGGCCTTGAGCAGGGAAGAGCAGACGGACACCCTGTCCATAGTCAGGACTGCATCCCACGGCGGCCATCCGTCCGTAGCTGGAGGAAAGGTTGGTGCAGGTGGTGGTGACAGCCAGGGAGATGACCTTGAGCAGGGAAGGGCAGACGGAGACCCAGCCCACAGTCAGGACTGCATCCCACGGCGGCGTCGCAGAATGGAATAGCCATGGAGTGAAGAGTCCCAACACTACCAAGGGGATTACCAGAGGTGATGGAGGTGGAGCACACCACGTAGCCAGAGAAGCGATGAGGCAGTGAGACACAAAGACCTAGGCGACTGCGACTAGGCCGCGGTGTCGCAGAATGGAGTAGCCATGGAGTGAAGAGTGCCAACACTAGTATCCCAAGTCTTTGAGGTGAAAAAATACGGTAAGTTGTTGTGTGAGGGCAATTCAATGACAGATCTGAGGCCTTAATCTAAAGCACTTTGTTTCTGGTTTAGTTTTGCCCAAGTTTGACGTGACCGTAAACGCACCGCAGACCTACAGCGTTGCAGTTATGGGACTGAAAGTTGAGTCTTGTGCCAAGTGAGTGATGCTTTTATTTTCTTGTCTTGTGGTTGGTCAGTTCTTTATCTTGTTATGATGATTCCCAGATGTACATATGGCCAACCTGTACCTGGTCAAGCCTTAGTGGAAGTGTGCCGTGATCCATTTCCATACAGTCTGCTTCATAATTTGACCGGACAGTGCCTGACTCAAACTGCAAAGGTGTGTGACTCCTGCCGTACTGCTGAGGGGTTTTCCTTTTGCCTGTGCTTGACTTAATTGTGTCTTTGTTCTCCTACCAGATGAATGTCACGGGCACCAAATTTGAAGACCAAATGCAAGACACATTTCTTGTAAATGTGAATGTTACTGAGGAGGGAACAGGTGAGCTATTGGCTGATTTGAACCATATACTATCATATTTAGAAGATATCCACTTTAAGCCACAAAGTTGATATTCTTCACTGTTTGTTTGGACTTTCTCTTACAGATGTAATGGTGTCAAAATCTGCAATGGTGTCCTTTACAAACAAAGCTGTATATCTCTTGGAGGGGAGCAACTGGCCCAACAAACTGCTGTTGAATCTAACCACAAACAAGAATGGACGGGCTGCGTTCTCCCTAAACACTGCTAATCTTAAGGCTGATCTGAATCTGGTGGTACGACTTGTATTTTGTAAAAATTAAGACATTCTCTCGCATGATACTGATTAAGTTTTATCTTCCCCAGGCGAGTGTTAAACCAGAGGTTTTTTTATGGTTATAAATCACCATACTTCACTACAGATACAAGGTTTGTTCAGCTTCTCCTACCTGTTTCTCCCGACAACCCATCGTTTAGTGAACTGACTATAGTGAAGCTCAATCAGCCGCTCAAATGTGGTGCTTCGTTTCCAGTGACCGTGGAGTATTCATTTGTTGGAGAGGCTGGTAGCTACAGCGATGACAATCTATATGGTGAGTGGACATTAGTTTTGTAGTTAAGTTTGCTGGTCTGTTTGTTCCACAACTTGCACACCTATGTCTTCTGTCAGGTCTTATCCAAAGGAGTGATCATCCTCCATGGATTTCAGACGGTAAAGCAAAGGCTGGTGATGCAGTCACAAGTGGCTCTGTGACGTTCCAGTTGTCTGTCAGCATCGGTATGGCTCCAGCAGTGCAGATTCTGGTCCACAGCGTTCTTCCCAGTGAGAATGCAGTTGCTGCTAGTGTGCCGTTTGACACCGATATGCATTTCCAGAACCAGGTACTGTGTGATGAGGCTATTTTTCAATTTGGGAGTGTTGGTGTGTGTCCTACAGCGTGTTGGTCCTTGTTCCAGGTGTCTCTGCAGTTTTCTACAGCTGTTCCTGCGGAGGAAAACGTTCTGGTGGTTGCTGCTCAAGCAGGATCTCTGTGTGGTAGATCAGAGCATCCGGATCATGGAGCCAGGAAGACGTCTGAGTGCTGAAAGGGTGTCTGTGTGCCTCAATCAGGTTTTTTGTTTGGGCTTTTAATTTGGATATTTCAGTGTGTGGCACTTCTGATTAGAATGCCACTTTAGTTTACCCCAGTGTCTGAAGTACAAGGGCCTGAATTTTTATTGCAACTTCAGTGTCGGTATGTCTGTTATTTTGATTCTTACTCTAGAAATTGGTACATGACTTAAAGATAAAATGAAAAAATATAGTCTTGTGTTGTAATGGTCTATACTAGCTTTTGTTACTGAATGTGGTCTTTTAATATGATGGTTGGAAGGATTTCCTTCCGTCCGTCCGTGCGAGCGTCCTTCCGTGCGTCCTTCCTTCCGTGCGTGCGTCCGTCCGTGCATGTGTCCTTCCGTCCGTCCGTGCGTCCGTCCGTGCATCCGTCCGTCTGTGCGTCCGTCCGTGCATGCGTCCTTCGTCCGTCCGTGCGTGCGTGCGTCCTTCCGTCCGTCCGTGCGTGCGTCCTTCCGTCCGTCCGTGCGTGCGTCCTTCCATCCGTCCGTGCGTGCGTCCGTCCGTCCGTCCTTCCGTCCGTGCGTGCGTGCGTCCGTCCGTGCGTGCGTCCTTCCGTGCGTGCGTCCTTTCGTCCGTCCACGCGTGCGTCCTTTCGTCCGTCCAACAGACACGAAGACCTAGGTGCCGCAGAATGGAGTAGCCATGGAGTGAAGAGTCCCAACACTAGTCTCCCAAGTCTTTGAGGTGAAAAAATACGGTAAGTTGTTGTGTGAGGGCAATTCAATGACAGATCTGAGGCCTTAATCTAAAGCACTTTGTTTCTGGTTTAGTTTTGCCCAAGTTTGACGTGACCGTAAACGCACCGCAGACCTACAGCGTTGCAGTTATGGGACTGAAAGTTGAGTCTTGTGCCAAGTGAGTGATGCTTTATTTTCTTGTCTTGTGGTTGGTCAGTTCTTTATCTTGTTATGTTTCCCAGATGTACATATGGCCAACCTGTACCTGGTCAAGCCTTAGTGGAAGTGTGCCGTGATCCATTTCCATACAGTCTGCTTCATAATTTGACTGGACAGTGCCTGACTCAAACTGCAAAGGTGTGTGACTCCTGCCTTACAGCTGAGGGTTTTCCTTTTGCCTGTGCTTGACTTAATTGTGTCTTTGTTCTCCTACCAGATGAATGCCACAGGCTATGCCTCTCTTACTGTTGATGCGTCAGTGTTTTTCAACACCAAATTTGAAGACCAAATGCAAGAAACATTGCTATTAAATGGGAATGTTACTGAGGAGGGAACAGGTGAGCTATTGGCTGATCTGAACTATATACTCTTTATCATCTTTACAAGACATGCACTTTAAGCCACAAAGTTGATATTCTTCACTGTTTGTTTGGACTTTCTCTCGCAGATGTAATGGTGTCAAAATCTGCAATGGTGTCCTTTACAAACAAAGCTGTGGATCTCTTGGAGGGGAGCAACTGGCCCAACAAACCGCCGCGGCCAATGCCCCGTACTCGGACTTCTCCAAGGCAAATAATTTATGCAGATCAGAGAGTTCTCTCCTCAAGTCCATATACAGCAGCCACTGAGGGCAGGACAGTTCTGCCTAGAGATCAAGACGATTCTCCTCAGCCCATGAGGGCACCGTCTGTTAATTCACGAGGTGACCTTCTGCATTCTCATTCTGTCAGTCACAAAGAGATTATCTCACTTACAATCTAGGAGACCTGAGACTACCAGGCTCGGCAACTCTGCTAACTTCAAGTCATCCTTTCTCTTCTTATGAACCAACTCAATCCCAACACAAGCTAGCCCATCAAGAAGATGCTACATATCCTCAACCTGGTATTAGGCACATAGATAGACCACGTGGTTACTACAACACAGACCACTGAGGCCATAACTATATGTCCATTGACCAAAGAGATCGCAACCAATATCCCGCAGCTGTTCAGTTTATGCCTCAGGACTATAGTCAAGAGACCGCAGCTACGTATGGGACATATAAAGATCATAGTCTGAACTGCAAACCCCTGCGCTATTTCCCTTCCACTGAACCATATGGTTATCAGCAACCTTATCATGGGATTCCAGCTACAAGTCCAGTCTATCAAGATGAGAGACTTTCTCCAAGGGATACATTAGCTCACCATGCACATGAGACACTAAGACAGCTATGGTCAATCAGCTCCTAATCCTACAGACAAATCAAGCTTCTTGTCCCCACGACACTATGCAGATTACGCTCAGCCTGAGACATATCAGCCATACCACCCAGTGCGCCCTCCTTCTCTTCCATATCCTCATGTAGAGCCCACCTACAGAAGTCCTATTCCCACCATTGCTGATTTTTGCAGTGAAGATCCCAGAGAGTTTGCATGACTCAAAATTGCACTGGAGGATTTGCTACCTGCCGAGGCTACAGAACGTTTCAAGTACCAAATACTCGATCATCTGAAACAGGAGAATGCCTTGCTCATTGCAGACTCGTACGTCAACAGCAGGTACCCATACACCAACACCATGAGGTCTCTAACTGCACGATTGGCTTGAATATGAGCTCAGAATACAAGAGGATGAGTCACAGTACGTTAGTAATGTAAGCAGAGCCTACTCTCAGCCACCGAGAGAACAGCAAAGGAATTGCAAGCCGGTTCAACGATTTGCTACTGTCTTGGATGGTGGCGAACAGAGTAAACCAGCAAGTGTTACAGCAGTCAAGAAGGAGAAATCGACAAAGTACTGCCCCTTCTGCAACACTGTGCAGCATTACTTCAATCAGTGCGCTAATTTCAAACTGCTGAATCGAGATCAAGTGGAGTCTTGGCTGAAGTCAAATCAGAAGTGCTTTACGTGTGGCCGTGACCACCAGATCTCACAATGCAATCTTAAAGCCAAATGTGAAAAGAGACATTTAGAAATACTGCATGACTTCAATGCCAAAGGTAAACATGAAACACAAGCTTCAGCAGAAAACGGTTGTCTTGTGAACTCAGAAGTAGAGACTTTGTATATGGACAGACCAACTGCAGGCAGCAAAGTTCTTTTGAAGGTCAGCCGAGTGATCTTGAGAAATGGAGATAAGGAACTTGACACATACGCTATATTGGATGACAGATCAGAGAGGACAATGTTACTGTATGAAGCAGCACAGCAACTTGATCTTCAAGGACTTCCTGAAGATATAGCCCTCCGGACTGTGAGACAAGACACACGGGTTGTTCATGGGGTGGCTGTTTCATTCTCAGTAGCTTCTGCATTTCAGCCAAACAAATCCTTCACTATTGAAAGAGCTTTTACAGCCAAAGAACTGAGCCTCACAAAACACTCTTACCCTGTTAAGTTGCTGCAGAAGAAATACAGATATCTGCAAGGTCTGCCCATTCCCTCAATGCAGCAGGCTCAACCATTCTTACTTATTGGCTCAGATTATCCACATTTAATCACAGCTACAGAGCCAGTTCGTCTCTGACCTCCTGGCGGTCCTGCTGCTGTGAAAGCCAGACTCGGTTGGACTCTGCAGGGCCCCTCAATTGAGATGGCGCCATAGCCAGATTCTAATTGAAAATTTCTGGAAATGTTTCATTCGGCATTACCTCCCCGACTTGCAACGACGACAAAAATGGCAAAGAGAACCAGACAACCTTCAAATTGGTGAAGTTGTGGTGATTGTGGACTAGCAAGCACCCAGAGCCTTATGGCAAACAGGTACTGTAGCCAAAGTCATTCCCGGACAAGATGGACGAGTCCGCACAGCGGTAGTGAATGTCAAAGACAAAAGTTACACGAGGCCTGTGGCTCGTCTGATTAAACTGCCTGCCCTACCTGATGACACCAGCAAAGACTAATAAGCCTTTTCTCTAATTACAAATTCGTTAAAGAAATTCGGGGGCGGGTGTGCAAAAGGCTAAGCTTCAATGACGCTGGTGCCCTCTGCTGGACATTTAATTTGTTGCACTTTAGTATATACTTATTTCAGAATCAATTTTCGGACAAACATGTGGCACACCTGAACCCAGCAGTAGGGGAGGGATGCAGGTTTTGTGGAGGGGAAGAAAATCTAGAACATTTGTTTTTAAAATGTTAAAGACTGGAAGGTCTTTCTGAAGTTCTTAATAGATTGTTTCAAGTTTTGGTGAAGATTTCTCAGAGGAAGTTTTTATAGGGGGTGTGAAATATAATTTTTCAAAAAGAAGGAAGATGTGTCTTAAATTATTTAACAGGAACTGTGAAATTGGCAATATGGAAAACCAGGAAAAATCAAGGATTGCTGCATAATAGTATTAATGTTGAAGTGATGTTTTTGAAATTAGTGGCTGGTAGACTAAAAATAGAATTTGCATACTATAGTCTTGTAAATAATGAGAGGGGTGTCAGTGATATGTGGTGTGTTAATGATGCTGTATACGATGGAAATCTCGTTTTGGAATTTTAATGTGTTTTTTAAATTATTTTTTTTCCATATATACAAATAATGTTAATTGTTGAATATTAAGTGTTTTAAATTAAGTTTTGTAAACCTCTCTCTCTCTCTCCTCTGTGTAACCATAGTAACTTTGATCTGCTTGAATATTTTTATCGTCTTTAATACATGATTCTGAAGGATAGATTAAAATACCTGGTATTTTTTATATATATAAATACTATAATGTAAAATTTAATAATAATTATCAATGTTTTTTTCTTTTTTTTTTTGGATCTGGGGCTATAAAAAACACATCTGGGGCTGAAGCCCTGAATGCCCATGTCTAACGACGCGTCTGGTCTGTATCATGAGCAGTGAAGGGAGGAAAGTGCTTGAAGAATGGAAGACTCAGTTTGCGGTCAACGAGCGAGATGGACAGCCTTTCTGCTTGCTCTGGAATAAAATACTGTCAAATAATTTCAACAAGCATTTCGATACCACACATGAAACTCTTGACACGAAATAATCTGGATCTCAGGAAAGAGCTTTAAAGATAACTAGTCTTGAAAAAATGCCATTGTTGAACAGAATACATGCGAGCTAGCTTAAAAGTGTCTCAGGCCGTGACATTAGCAATGTTCAAAATGTCCTGGCTCCTCGCTAAACACGGCAAACCATTCAGTGACGGAGAGCTGGTCAAGAACTCACAATGTCTGTTTGATGACCTGAGCAACAAGAGTGAGATCATTCACAGGATAAAACGTTTACAGCTCAGCAATGACACAGTTACTCGTCGAATCTCTGAAATGTCTGAGAATTTGACAGAACAGCTAAAAACTAAGCTAGCCACAGCTTCAGCACTCAGTTTGGCTGCGGATGAATCGACGGACATCGGAGATGTTGCTCAGCTTTGCATTTGGGGGAGATGTGTGTATTCTGAGACTTTTGAGGTTACAGAAGATTTATTGGCATTGAAGTCGCTACAAGAACGAACAAGACGAGGACATTAATGAAGCACTTAGTGAAGCATGCAAAGACATGAACGTACCTGAACCCTCAGTTGTCTCCATCACTACCGACGGTGCGTCCTCAATGACGGGAAAACTCAAGGGTCTCGTTCAGGGGTGGAGTGGGACCAAAAAATCTACCGGGAAATTTCGTAGACCACCGGCCTTCGTCGCCGGCACGATTTTAATAGCCGATATCATTTACAGTTTTACTGATTTAAAAGTAACTTTGTTGTACTATGCTGGAGTAAAGTTCATAAATGGTCGTTCTTTCCCATAATAATTTCTAAAACTATGTTGGGAGGACTCTGTGCCTCTAGGGGGGTTCGGGGACATGCTCCCCCGCGAGAAAATTTTGTACATTTTAAGGTTAAATGCATCAATCTTGTGCTCTCTGAGAGATCACAATTAAGAGCTTCAACCCATGAACTGCTTGAGCTTTTATTTAGGAGAAAACACCAGCAGCCCATGATGATCGCGTGAGCAAAGTAATCACGCAGCACAAACTGGATGCTATTCTAATGTCAGTTATTATAATGGCGCAACGCCATATCATGGTTTCAATTTTAGTTCGTTGGCAAAATATAACGCTAGAGATATTAATGTTAGGTTTTACATGCATCTTTACACACTATGTGTTGGGAAAAGGGAGAAGAGA